ACCTTCAGCTTGGGTAAAGCTGGAATGCTAGGAATGCCGCTCCTTATCTCATTTGGTCATAAATTTGCACACAATCACTTGTTCTTCATTTAATGAGGTTTTTCATAGAACAAGGGCTTCCACTTACTTTGATGTATACTTTCGCCGTGCTTCTGTTTTCTTATTCTCGGCGAACGGAGCTGTCTTTGGCTAGTTGCCAAAAATGGCGCCCATCTTCGTCTGTGCTGATGTGAATTTCCAGAAGAAAGACAAATTGAGTTGCTGCCCAATCTTCTAACTTCTGTGGCTCACCAGCTGCTGCAGAAGGGTCTCTCCTGACTCTTCCTTGCCCCCCCCATTTCTGGAAGGGTCCCAGACCGAAGTGGTTCTAGCTTTCCCCGGGAGCTATTCCCGAGAGCTGCTAGCTTCACCAAGACGAAGCTCCTCCTTCCTACCGGCATCTATGGGATGTTGTGAGACTCAAGGCGAGAGTGTAAAGGCTCTCCCCGCTGGAGTGTCGTCCTCCCTCAAAAGAGAGCAGGAGGTGCAGACAAACCTGCCTACACCGCCCATTGAAACCAAACAGCAGGGAGCTGATACCTGGGAGTTGGAGCAGGAACTTTTGAAAATGACAGTGGCCACACAAACAGGAAGTGAATTGGGGGGAAGAGAGGAAAGGGGGAGGCCTGCTGTGGAGGCGGGAATGGGAGATATAAAAGGTCATGTTGACCCAATACGGAGAGAGGGCTGGGAGATTATATGGGTGAAGGACCCATAGACCAGTAAATGGGAAACAGTGCGATTTCCTCGGGAGGAGGCAGACTACTGGAGAAGAAGGGGTCTGCCGCAACGTCTTTCCTATTGGGGAGAATCTGAGGCCCAGGAGTGGCACAGACATTACAGAGAGGAGAAAGAAGCGGTGTCCCAGGAAGAGAGGGAGCGCCCGAGCATGGCGTTTGCCGGAAGCCCAGAGGAGGGGCTACTTAACAGGCCCTGGACCCCCTCTACGAGGAGAGGAAGATGTCTATGGGATGGAGGGATGAGGTGAGGGGGCCACCCTGCTTTTAAACTCAGAGGTAGTGGTTCATGAGTTTGAGGACAGTAACTCGGTTTTTGAGGGGACCTTGAGATGAGTTGGGTAACAACCCCTTTGTTAAAGACGTTTGGATGCCCTCGCCGGATCCGTTGGCAGCAAGAGAGAAGATGGAAGCCAAGGTTGCGCGACAATATTTATTGTTAAACATTCCAATAAAAGCTAGTTATGATTTTACAGCAGGCGTGTCTCCAGAGTCTCAGTTGGATACCGGGGAAGCAAAACACGAACCCTTACAGATGTGTGTGCTTGGGAGTGATCCCTGTGGATACTGTAGTCCTACTATAATTAAATTAATAATTAGGTTTTTAGTTTAAAGTTGTATTTGTTATATAATACCAGTGTGTCTTGCATTTCTGAACAACAATTGCAGGCTATCTTTATTGATTGATTTGATTTGATTTGTACAAAGATAGCATAAGAAATAAATAAAGGAAAAATAAAAAGGAAATCAGATATTAGCTGGAGGGAAAGCCTGAATATACAGCCATGTCTTTAATTGACTTTTAAAGGTGCCCAGCGTAGGGGCTGATTGCAGGCTATCTTTATTGATTGATTTGATTTGATTTGTACAAAGATAGCATAAGAAATAAATAAAGGAAAAATAAAAAGGAAATCAGATATTAGCTGGAGGGAAAGCCTGAATATACAGCCATGTCTTTAATTGACTTTTAAAGGTGCCCAGCGTAGGGGCTGAACGAATCGCCAGAGGAAGGTTATTCCAGAGGCGAGGAGCCACCGCCGAGAAGGCCCGATTTCGTGTCCTTTCCTTCCGGGCCTCCCTCGGCATCAGGCTCCTCAGCCTCACCTCCTGGCTCGTGTGGATGATCCGGGTAGATCTAGGTGGGAGTAGGCGTTCCACCAAGTATCGAGGTCCTAGACCGCTTAGGGCCTTATATGTAAGCATTAACACTTTGAAGTCAGCGCAGAAATGGATGGGCAGCCAGTGCAGCTTGGCCAGAGTACTAGAGATATGTTGGTATTTCCTCACTCCAGTAAGGAGTCTGGCCGCTGCGTTCTGCACCACCTGAACTTTCCGCGTCAGCTTCAAAGGCAGCCCCACGTAGAGGGCGTTGCAGTGGTCTAATCTAGAGATTACGAGCGCATGTTCTAAAGTAGTGAGCGCCCCCGTGTCTAAGTAAGGTTGCAGCCAGGCAATCTGCCAAAGATGGAAAAAGGCGGTATGGACTACCGATGCCACCTGCGTTTCCATGGTGAGCGTCAGGTCCAGATGTAT